GGGTGGTTTGGGGAGGCCTCGTCACTTCAGATTAGGCTGTAGCAGGCGTATCCTGTTTTCTAGGAAAAAGAGGATTTTGTGGCCAGCTTTGTTAGAGAGGCATTGAAGATTTTTCTTTGTGTGCCTTGGCGTTTGAAGTTTGCAGGCGGTAGCTGCAGACTTTCTAGATGTTCTGGTTACACGGATGACACTTATTTTTAACCTTATTTTTATTAGAGGTTTGTATCATGTGGGCCTGGCCAGCCCACAGGAAGGGCTAGAAACTTCTTGTAGGAGGGATAACATTTCCTATCTCTGTGAAAACAGCAATTCCCCCCAGATGGGAAAAGCTAGCCCAGCTGTAAGGCAAGCTGGGGCTGTATCCCACATGTGGCAGCCAGGATGAGGCTCTCCCACAACAGGAACAGACCTTGTTTCCAGCAGCCAGAGCCCTGCTGAGTGTTACAGCTCTCCCCGGACTCAGGAGAGGTGCCAGGAACAGGAGACCTGCTCTGGGGAGCCGTGGTGAGGAGAGGCTGGCTGCTGAGGGCTGTGGTGGAGCAGCACTGCTGGAGCTGGGGGAGAGGCAGGCGGCCAGCGCAGGGCTGGGGTGAGGGCTCACACAATGAAGATACTCATGGAAGAGGAGGAGACATCCTGTGGGACGTGCTCTGATGGGGTCTTGCAGTGAAGAATGCTGTGCAGTGAGAATGATATTGCTGTGGGCTGGGAAAGAGCCTCTGGGCTGTGTGTACAGCAACATGGGAGCCCCAAAGCCTGAACAGGAGCATCGCTGCCGACTTCGGAGGAAAGAGAAGTTCCTCCTGCTCTCAGCCCCAGCTTGCAACTGCCCAAGCTGATTTAATGGTGCTGGTGCTCCTCCCTGCCTGCAAGAAGACCAAACAAGTGCACAGCCGTTACTGGGACATGGGAATCTGGGACCCACAAGATCCAGAGGTGACAAGGTTACACTGCTGACAGCTGTAGGTAATGACACATCTTTATTTATTTGTGGAGAATCTCCAGGAACGCTGCTGTGATACATGGAGTGGGTCCCAACTCAAACCCTTTGGGTGCAAAGCAAAAGATGGGAGGTGGTGGCAGCCAGAGCAGAGCTCTGGGCAGGGGGTGGCATTAGTTTGCCTGGCCAGGGTGACAAAAGAGAATTTTAGGAAGAAATTCGAGTGGGAGAATGGATGGACAAAGAGGAGCTGGGCCTGGTGCCATCCCCAGGTGGATTTTAGATTTTCAGCCTTCAGTGAAAATAAGGATTTAGGGTTGGGAGTGAAGAGTTATGTGTGGAAGAGCTGACCCCAGGTGGATTTTAGAGAAGGCACTGGCTGAGCAGCCTTCAGTGAAAATAAGGATTTAGGGTTGGGAGTGAAGAGTTATGTGTGGAAGAGCTGGCATGGTTGCTGGGAAGCATGTGAAAAATTAGGAGTCACTTCCAATGTGAATGGATGTTGCCAGTCCCAACTGTGTGATAGTGACAGGGAAGGACTCCTTCAGCTGGTTGGTCACTGGCTCCATGAATTTGAGATGCCAGCCAGCCAGCCAAAGCAGCACAGCCAGATGGGGGAATGGTTCTTGCTGGAATGACATTTTGCAGAAGCTGGGCAGCCCAGCCTTGCTGCCAATGGGCAGGGATGTGTCCGTGGCACGGTGTGCAGAGGACATGCTGCTTGTCCCCAGGGGTGCTGAGAGATCCCCCAGTTCTCCCTCCCTGCTCACAGCAGCCTGGCCATGCTGCCTGCTCCTTGCAGCTGCTCCAGCTCTGGAATGGAGGAGCTTTGCCCACGCAGCCATGTCTCATCACTGGTCTATGCTGGAAAGCCACAGGGCTGGTGGGAAGCAGTGAGGGAGCTGCTTTGGTACTCTGCTGCAGAGGCTCAACAGGAGAGCCTGGTGCAGCTACGTGGAATGTGTGGCAGGAGCCTGGGTATAAAATCCTCTGTAGAGGTACCTTGTTTCCCATGAAATGATGTACACATTTTCTTGATTGTTATGAAATAAACTCTCAGCATCTCTCTGTGGTGTGTGTAGCAGAGACAGGAAAAGGATCAGGCTTTGGCTCACCGTCTGCCAGAGCTGCTTTGTCTGGTACCAGACCTTTCCCACAAGCAGTTTGCAGAGCCTTGCTCTCCTGAATTAAATGATAACTGAGGGGCAGAGAGAGAAAGAGGGCGTTTCAGCTGGCGGGAGATTGATGGCAGGTCAGTGAGGCCAACAGCAGCAGGAAGGTTTCAGTAGAAAGGGAGAGGAACCCGTGGATGCTGGAAGGGCTGATTCCACCCTCACAGTGCCCTGGAAACTCTCATGAGCACAGCTCTCAAAAGCATTTCCCCTTTCTTTAATCTAGAAAAACAAATGGGTGTAAAATCTATTTGTTTTTTTTAATCTACTCACCCGAGCTGCGAATTTGCTTTAGGTTTGTGGTGCATGTTTGTTTGAATGGTGATGTTTAGTATCCCCAGGGGCTTATTCAGAGTGGGTTTCTCAGCTCCTCCTGTTCACTTGCAGAGCATTTTTTACATTTGCTGCCAAATTTTTCATGCTTGTGTTCTGCAGAGATGGAGGTGTGGTTTGGGGGAACCTGCTGTAAAGGCCTGGGGCTGGTCCTGCAGATTTCAGACACTTTGGCTAGCCAAGATTTCCTCCTGACCTTGAAAGCTCATTTCTATCACACCAGGATAATCATACTCCTTTTTTTACTGTTATACAGTTTTCTGCTGAATCTAGAAGTAATAACAGGCAAGCAGGGAAGATTATACCCCACGTGGACTCCGGATGCTTTGTCTGGGGCAGGAGAGGCGCGGGCTCTGTCCCTGGCCCCGGGACAGCCCTGCAAGTGTCTTGCCTCGGGACGGGAAAGGGAAAGAACAAACAAAAACTGAATGTAAAACTTGTGAGGCTTTGTCTGCCGGGTTGTGCTGCATGGAGCTGTGTGGGGCACGGTGCTGCTGGAAACCGGTGGGCAGAGCAGTGGCTCGGTGGGCCAGGGCTCTGCCCGGCCCTGGGGTGCCAAGGGAGTCTCCTCTGCCTCGGGGATTGAGCTGCGTGGGGCTCCGATGGCCGAGCCCCGGAGAAATGATGAACCCTGGGGGATGCTGGGCGCTGGAGGTGATACCAGGACGCCGGCGGGTACCAGGGGGAGGGGAGCCCCGGTAGGTGTGAGACACCGGAGGAACGTGGAGCCTCCGGGGAGAGATGCTGAGCCCCGCGGGGGTGATGCAGAGCACCGGGAGGGTGTGCGGGGAGCCGAGGCAAGGGGCGTGTGGGGCACCAGGCGGTGGTCCCAGGCGATGTGGGGCAGTGGACGGGACACACTGGGGCACCGGGGAGTGAGGAGTCGCGGCGGGGAGGACGTGGCGCCCCGGGGGATGCGGACCCTGGGGGAATGCGGGACCTCGAGGGCTGCGCGCCCGATGGGCTTGGGGGACTTGGCGGGTGCGGTGGTGCTGCGGGCCCCGCGCTCCCCTCCCCCGCCATGGGGCGGCGAAGGAGGAGGAGGAGGAGGAGGAGGAGGGGCTGCCCAGCACGGGCAGGGTTAAAACGCCATGTAATCGGAGCGCGGGGCTGTCGGGGGCCGGCCGGGGCGCGGGCAGCGGCGAGCGGCGGCGCGGCCCCGCTGGACGGCGCGTCCCGCCGCGGTGCAGGTGAGCGCTGGACCGGGGGCACCGGAGGGTCCGAGCCGGAGCCGTGGCACATCCTCGTGGGCGGCTTTGTTGTCCGCGGCCGTGGCGGGGGACAATGAGGCGGGAGGGGAAGGCGGCACGGGGCGCACCGGAGCGCCGCCGCGGGAGCGCCCCGGCCGGTCTGGCGGCCCCGGTGCCCGGTAACCGGGAGCTCGCGGCTTCGCCCCGGGGGCTGGGACAAGGGGCAGGGGGTGGGCCCGACCGCCACTTGTTGCCGGCACTCGGCTCTGGGGCGTGTTGTAGGGATCGTTGCTCCCGCAGCTTCGGGCATGGTCCCCTAAGTCCCCCTGGTCCCGCCCACCCCTCCGGTCCCGTTGCAGCTTTGGGAGTTTCCCGCGGAAGCCCCGGGGGCGCGTCCCGGGACTGTCACGGCGGGGCCGGTGCGGGACCCCCCGCGACCCGCGGGGCCGGGCCGGGGCTGAGCCGGGGACTGCGGCAGGAGGGTCCCCTCGCTGATACGGCGAGGGATGGCTGCGGGGCGGGGGTGGTTCGGGGGGGCCGGGGTCCCCCAGCCCGGCTCGGTCGTCCCGGGCAGCGCCGCCTCCAGGCCGGGGGCACCGTGGGGAGCTGCCGGGGGTACCGGGACACGGTGGCGCTGCTGCCCCGGGCCGAACACCTTTGTTTTCGGTTCTCGGTCGGGGATCTGACAGCGCATCTTCCCTCTCTGTTGGCAGGAAAAGAGGTTCCCGGCGGCGCCTCGGGCGCGAAGCCTCCCCGGGACCGATCCGGAGGGACGGGGTGGCCGGAGCAGGTATCGACCGGAGGGCTGTGATGGCATCCGCCTCCTGCCGAGCCCGCGGGGAGCCTCCGGGGAGGGGAGATCATCGGAGAAGCAGGAATGAACTCTTCGGAGTGGCCCCAGCGTGGGGCACAAGTCGGGAAGCCGGGAGAGGGGAGCGGCGGGGGTCCCCTGGGCGAGTGGTGGTCCTGGGGCAAGAGGTGCTCCGGCACCGACCTCCCTCGGAACGGGAGAGGGCAAGGAGGGGGTGGCTGGAGCGTGCTGCCCTGAGCAGTACTGGTACTCTCCTTTCCTGCCCCAGTTTCCAAATTTTTAATCAGCTGAGGAGGAGTGAGGCTGGGTTATCCCAGTCCCACCGCTGTGGCTGCACGGGGCTGGACGGGCGGCCGTGGGGACAGCGAGGTGTCATTGTCATCTTTGGTCCTCTTGTTCAGGGGGAGAATGAAGCGGTGACGACTCCGGACAGAAGACTGGCCACCTCTGAGAGGACCTCACCTGTGTTCAGAGCCCCCAGAGCCTCCAGCCCTGCCCGCAGCTGCCGCCCGCCGGCAGCCCCTGCCCCACGCCGGGGGGCTCGGCCCGGCGGGATCCCGGCGGGATGAACATGGTAAAGAGCCCGAAGCCGCTGGAGCAGCGGCTGGCGGGGATGGTGGCTGTCCGGGAGACGTCTCCAGCCTGGTCTGCGCTGGGAGAGGAGGGGCCGGTTTGTGTTTTGTTCCTTTTCTTTAACCCAGCTTTGCTGAGAGGCAGCGGGGAGAGCCGGGGTGGGCGCCGAGGGCTGCGGGGGGAGTGGAGCGGGGCAGGAGGAAACCGGGGGAAATGGAGGGAAGTGCCGGAGCGGGAGAGCAGAGAGGCCAGGCACAGGAAGCGGGCAGGGGGAGCCTGCCCTTCGCCCCCTGCCCTTCCCAACGAGCACATCTGCGAAATCGGCGCCTTTCTTACCGAACTGCCAACCCAGCAACTCCTTTCTTCCCAGGATTAGAGGGAAATGTTCGGTTTGGGGAGACTTAAAGGCCATTAGTGTGCACCACAGCCCAGAGCCAGCCCGGCCATTAGGGTCCTTTATTTCTTTTTGTTATTCAAACAGGGCTTGGGCGATGGCTCCATCCCAGCCATGGGTAAAGCTTCCCTCCAGCCTTTTGATATGCATGCCCCTGTCTGGAGGCAAAGTCCGAAACCTCCCCACCTCCTGGGGACATGCACCTGATAACAGGGCGGCCTCTTTTCCCAGCAAGGAAAACTGAACTCAGCCTGGGCCAGGCTGGAGGAGCAGCCCCGGGAGCAGGGGCAGGGGTCCAGTCCAGAGCATGGCCCGGCCAGGTGAGCCCTGCCCACCCTGCCCTCTCTGCCAGGTGAGCCCAGCCATCCTGCCCACTCTGCCTGCTCTGCCTGCTGCAGGGTGGCCAGCAGTCCTGGCCAGGCAGGGACCAGAATTCTCTCTAAGCAGTTAATACTGTGGCATGGTCTTTAACCAATCTGGCAAATCTTAAAGAAACTGGTATTGCAAAATGAGGGCGGGCTGTGGAGTCAGCGGGTTCATTGTCTTCTCGGGTGGGATTTGGCTGCAGGGCACGTCCTGGTCACCAGGCAGTGCTGGGGCTGCCGCTGGTGCCGGGCTCTTGGGGAGTTTTCGGCAATGGAGCTGGAATTGTGCATTATTTGCCTCCTCATGGATTCCCGTCTGGAGTGCATGGCTGTGGAGCAGCCGGTGTGTTTGCAGGGCGCTGGGCAATGCAAACACTGCAGGGTTGGTCTCCCATGAGCCAGCCCATGTGAGGGCAGTGCTCTGTTTCTTATTATTAATGCCCTCAGTGCACATGTTGGTGTGTTTTTGCAAGGGGAGGCGAGGACAAAGAACCAAGCCTTCCTCCCGAGCAGGAGGGGCTGAGCTCACAAGGATGTGGCTCCTGCAGGGGAGCCTGGCTGGTCAGCGGGCAGCAGGATGGGCTCACGTCCCTTCAGCACTTGGTGCAAACAGCAGGAGAAGGGGTGGGAATTGCAGTCGTGCTGCATAGGATTAGGATTTTGCGAGAGGCACTTTAAATGAGCAGTTTATGCCATGGTCTGCTGTTCCCTTTCCTGTCAGAGGATGGTGATGGGATGTCCTCAAGTGATCCTGGGCAGTGCAGCTGGAGAAGGGCACGAACCAAGCAGGGAGCTGACGTGCCTGTGCTCACGGCAGGGCCTGTGGCCCGTGCCATGGACCCACAGAGCTGTGACCGGTGGGTCTCTGCTCTGCCAGCCAGCAGCTCCTTCCAAAGGGATAACCCTTTTTTTCCCACTTTATAACTGGAATAAAAGCCGTGTGGGAGCTCCCTAAGCACATGGCAAAGCTGAGCTAGGGGCATCAGGTGTTCAGTCCTGGCTGTGTCCCTAGGGAGACCTGGCCACTGTGTCACCTTAGCCCTTCGCTTCCCCAGTGCTAGGCTGACAGGACACCCTTGCCTGGTGTGCTGGACGTGAGGCAGTCGTGGGGCTGAGGAAGGAAAAGCCATTTTGAAGTGCAAGTTTGAACTTCCTGGACTCAGGTTCCTGACAAAGGAATGAATGCAGAGGTCGTCTGAGAGTCCTAGTGGAGTTTTGTGGGTGCAGATGTTTGGGAGGGCTGGGAGATATCCTTGCCTGCTTCTGTCCTCCCTGAATCTTACCTGCTTCATGCAGCTCCATCTCCTTGTACCCTCTGGTTCAGATCACCCTCATGCTGGGAGAGCAGCCTCCCTGTAGGGATTCCCAAGGGAGATTCTCTTTTTGGTGAGTTGTGCTGGTTTTGGTGGCAGCATTGCTGCCAGTCATAGCTGCTGCTGCTCCGCAGCACTGTGGGCTGAGGAGGGGGAGCAGACCAGGAGGAGCTGGCCCTGACCTGGCTGTGCTGTGCCGGGGTGGATTGCTGCATCCTGGAGCATCTGGGGCCATGTGGGACCATCCGCCGGGGCCGGGGGCAGGCGGCGAGTCTGGGCAGCTCCCAGGAATTGTTTGCTGGGTCTGGGAGCAGATGTGCTGCAGCAGAGGGATCTCTGCACACACAGCTGTGGGGGGTTATGCAGCGTCTGGTGCCATTCCTCTCCTCCTCCCTTTGTCCAGGGGGGAGGCAGTATGTGCACCGAGGTTTCTGCCTGTGGAGGTGGGTGCTGGACACCTGTTTTTCTTTGTGTTTGAGTGTTACCAGGTTTTTAACTCTGCCCTCTGCATCCAAAACATCAAACTCCAACTGGTCTTTGTTTGTCGGAGGTGCTGACAGATGATTTCAAAGCAGAAATCTCAATTGTTAGGGCAGTGCTTGGAGGCGACGCAGAACGAGAGTGACACAGAAGGGGCGGTGGGCTTGAGCTGGGGTCTCTCTGGGGCTGAGGGGGTGTTACTTTGGCTTCCTATAGGGCTGTAGGTGGGCAAAGCCCTGCGAGCTTCTCAGCTCTTGAGTTACGTGCTGCTGAAATGACTGTGCTGCTGAAGAGGCAAGTTGCAGCACAGACCCATAGCCCGGCAGTGAGGCAGCACAGTTCATGGCATCCGGGTGCCTCTGGGAGAGCCGGGAGCTTCCACTTCAGAAAACAGGAGCCAGGGAGGGCACCCAGGGGAAGGCAGCAAGCAAGGCGAGCCCCAGCTCAGCAGAGGACACCAGAGGATGCACAGCCCCCTGCTCTGCCCCTTCACCCTTGGGCAGGGCAGCTGAGGCCAAGAGCCGGGGGCAGGAGGAGTTTTCTCCCTCGGAGCGAGTTTAATGCAGGCTCCAGGACTTTGCCCCCCATGGCGGGCTGCCTGTCCTGCTGCTGCGGGAACAGCCCACCCACCTCTGGGCGTGTTGGGCAGCTGGAACACCGGGAGGCTGGTGGCCCAGGGGTGGGCTCTCCCCAGGGGTGGGCTCTCCCCAGGGGTGGGCTGGCCCCAGGGGTGGGCTGGCCCCTGGTTTCTGCAGGGTGGCCGGGAAGTGCAACTTCCCTCCAGACAGAGTGACCTGGGGCTCGGCAGCTCCGAGCCAGCATACAGATGTTGGGGGAAAACCAGGCGTGTCCCTAAGGATAAGTGGGTTGCACCTGGGACCTCTTTTAGATGGAGCTGATTGACCTTTAAGGCCACCACGTTTGTGTGGAGGTTATGTGCAAGTGCTGTTTATTTCCCAGGACCTTTAGTTGCATCTCCAGACTCCTCTGCTAAGGGCACAAAGTTAAAGCTGGCTCAAGGACCTCACTCTGTCTGCTCTGCCCTCCCTGGGGCTTCCTTGCACAGCTGAATTTCCTTTCCATTCTGGCTTCTACAGGCAACCATGAAAAAGGACAAGAGCCATGGGCAGGATGAGGCAGACTGTAGGGCAAAGCTGATCCTCATCAACAGGGACAATGCACCTGGTGTTGTCCTGGAGGCGAATGGGAAGCCCAGCACTCCAGGTGAGGGTCACCACACTGAGCCCAGAGTGCTCCAAGCATGCACAGGGATGGGGATGTCACAGCCTCTGTCCCACGCCTTGGTGGGGGATGAAGTGCTGTGGCTGTGGCCAGAGTCCCCCCCATGACCCCACTGGATTTCTGTGATCCAGGAGCACACTCAGGCCATGCTGTGGTTGTGGGAATGGGTGCCACACTGGGATTCTGGCTCTGCCCCCCATAGTTTAACCCCCATGGAGTGAGGAAAGCAGGGGAGCCCCTCCAGCCTGAGGGGTGCCATTGACCTGAGGGGCTGCATCGCTGCTCCTGGGATTCTCCAGTCAGGGTTCCCAAATCCCACCTCTTGGGTTCACAAGGTCCTGCTGTAAATGACTTGGTGACAAGCCCGGAAGAGCTGGCATGTGGCCTCCTTGTGCCTCTGAGCTTTCAGGAACAGGGGAGTGGATAAGAATGTCCCCATGCTTGCTGCTAGTCCCTCCCAGTTTTAGGGACAGGTGGGTGATCTGGGGCTGTGGTGCCACGGTGGGGAGCCCCGGGGACACCACTTGTCTCTGCCCCCAGCCACGTTTCTCTGAGATGAGGTTTTGGTGCCTCCAAATTGTGCTGTGGGAGCAGTGGGAGGCTGGGGCATGCAAGGACACAGCCAGAAGGGCTTGCAGAGCCTGAGGCTGCTCTGTCTTGTTTGCACAGATTCCAGGGGCCTGGGGCTGCTGCCCCTGAAGAAGGAGAAGAACAGCAATGGAGACCTCTCCAAGGAGGACCTGGCCTGGCCACTCGATCTGCCGGTGCAGAGGGTAAGTGAACACCTAGGGTGCTTTTTTGGGGGCTGTCTGTGGGTGGTATCTGGTGCCAGGATCCTCATCTCTTTCCTTCTGGGCTTCTCTTGTGCCCAATGCCAGAGGAACAGTCCAGTGATGAATGCAATACTCACCGCGTAATGTTTTAATTTTTAAATTGCTGCTTCTCATGATACAGCAGTAGGAGGGGGTGGTGTGGGATGCAGCAATGGCCATTACATGTTGCAGAAGCCTAATAAAATATACTGATATTTTCTTTAAAGTCTTGGCTGTATTGATACACTGAAGCATCTCATGCCTCCCACTGTTGGGGTGAGCTGCTTTTAGCTGCTGTGGGCTGGACCCCAGTTTCACTCACCCTCTTTTGTTGACAAACCTCCAGGGTCTGGAAGCATTTTTGCCTTCTGGCTTTATTGTTTTGAGTTAGAATTAAAAGCCAAGGCTGGAGATCTGCCTGAGATGAGGCAGCTTCCAAAAGAAAGAGCCATAAATCCAGTGGGTGAAAATTGATCTTTCCCACTGTTTAGTTTGGGGGCTCTTCACTGCAAAATCTCATTTCATTTTGAACCTCTGTTATGCTGGGTGCAGGCAGCAAGTCTGGGCTGGACTGTGACTCTGACCACCAGGGAAGGGCTGCCCTGGGTGCTGCTGCAGGGCTGCTGTGGGAAAGAGCACCCATGGGAGAGTGAGAGCATCCAGGGTGTGTGAGTGGTCCATGCCCATCCTGCCATGGTCTGTGGTTCTGGCATCCCAGTCCTCCCAGCTGTGGCTCCTGCTCTCTCTATCATTCTGGGTGCAATGGGCTGCAGCAGTGGGGCTCCTCAGCCTTGCAGAGATGCTGTGGAGCAGAAAGTTGCCCAAAGGGGCTGAGCACAAAATGCCCCCAGCATCCATTTGTCTCCTCTCACCTTCCCCAGGGCACTCCCTGTGGTGCACAGCACCATGAGGCACAGACTGTCCCTGTGCGAGGAGGGCACCCATGCTGTGGCCCCCCTGTGTTCTGGTATCAGGTGCAACCCTGGGGCAGGGCTGGGTGGGAGAACAGCCTCAGGCAGAAGCCTCAGGCAGAAGCCCACCCTGTGCCTCCCGTTGCAGGCAGGGCGGACCCGGCAGGAGATGCGGCTCAAGGACCCAGCACGCAGTGTGGAGCCTCTCAGGGACCTGCCAACTCCCGTGCGGGTGAGGGTCTGGCAGGGCCAGGGCTTCCCTGAGGCTTCCCTTGTGCTCCAGGGACCTGCACTGCTGCTGTGCCCTGGTCAAGTGTCTTCAGAGATGGTGCAGCCTCCCCGTGCCTCAGTTTCCCCCGTGAAGGGGTGTTTTTGTGCTGCATTTTGCCCCTGCTATGAACTGGGTGCGTTGAGCACCCTGGGGTGGATTTGGCACAGGAAAATGGGAGGGGGCAGTGGTGCACCATTTGCTCTGGGCCTGGCAGGTAGAAGCAGAGCAGTTCTCCTGCAGATGCCCCTGTTAAGGGCTTTTCTCTCTATTCATGGCTGCAGTGGTGCCCTCACTCCCTGGCTGCCCCTCTCCAATCCCAGCTGCAGAGCTGGGAGATGACACGGGGCTGAGTGTGATGTGGGGAATGGGGGTGATGTGGGCAGGTCTTTGCTCCCCCTGTCCCTCTCCCTGCTGCACTCACGCTCCTGCCTCCGCCACGCAGAGCTCCAGGCGTCGCTCCGCTGTGCCCACGCCCATGACCATCGACCTGACAGAGGAGGACTCCCAGGACTCATCCCAGAGCAGCAGCACACTCTCGGGTAGCAGCTCCCAGGAGGGGCAGAATGGCTCTGCTGAGCTGGGGGCCGAGGAGGCAGAGAGCAGAGACATGGGCATGGCGCTGGAATACCAGGTATGGAGGGGCTGAGCTCTGCTCCTGCACCCACCATGGTGTGGGGCAAGGATGAGCCTCTGTGGCTTGTCCCAAAACAAACTGGGAAACCTCAGTGCTGTTTCGCCTGCCCACCCATCCCTGATGCCTAATGGTGCCAGGCTGTCTCCATCTATCAGGCTTGGGTGCTTTGTGGGACCAGCCCTGCCAAGCTGCCACTGGTGCCACACGTGGGCCCCCCGAGACACACGAGCGTGCCGTGTGCTGTGCCCTGCTCAGACAGGCAGTTGCATGTGCAGAAAACGTTTCTGTCGGGGATGCTGGAGAGAAGCAAAGCTGCTGGGGCTGCAGAGCAGGATTTGGTGCCTGGGGGCCGCAGGGCAGGGCCCCAGACTTGCAGGAATTGGGCAATTGCATCTTGCTGCATAATTAAGTACGTAATTGCAGAATAAAGCTGGGAAGGAGGGCTCTGCAGGCAGAGAGGTGACTTTTCTCTGTGTGAGGTTCCTTGCTGTGCACAGCACCCAGCGTGGCCTGCGATTCTTGGCTCTTTTTTTCTTCTCTGTTTTAGTTCTGCCACATTTCCTGCTTTCCCCAGCAGGAAAAGAGGAGGGTGGGTGGGTGTCCTCTCCCTGGGGTGCAGCCACACCACGCAGGCTGAGCTGTGAGTTCTGTGAGGGGGCTGTTCTGTGCCAAGGAGGAGCCTCATCTGCTGAGGGCACCCAGGGAACAGCCTTGGTGCAAGGCTTCCCCGTGTGTGCAGAGACCCTGGGAGGGCAGGCAGGAGTGGACACGCACGGGGCCCGCTGCCAGGTGGGCTGTGCAGGATGGAGCATGCACCACGCCGTGTGCCAGGCACGGGCTCAGTGTGGCGCTGGCACACACAGGCCTCCCCATCAAGCTTCAGCATGGATCAGAGCTGGGATTCAGTGCTGCCAGGGGGGAATGGCTTGGCCCTGTGACTGAGGGAGGGGTTGCAGTTGTTGGAGATCACTGCACAGAGATTCCACACGCGTGACACACATGGCGACACACCAGGGCTGTCCCCTGTGCTCCAGGGCTCCCCTGACCAACTGCCCAGACAAAATGGGGAACTTGTACTTTTGGCTGATCTGTTGTGTTGTGCTTTCAGGATGGGAAGGAATTTGGAATTGGGGAGCTTGTCTGGGGAAAGATCAAAGGTTTTTCCTGGTGGCCTGCGATCGTCGTCTCCCACAGAGCCACGGCCAAGCGCCAGGCGGTCTCGGGCATGCGGTGGGTGCAGTGGTTTGGAGACGGGAAGTTCTCCGAGGTAAGAGAGAGCTTAGACTCTGTTTTGGCCCAGCCCAAAACACCCTTCCCTGCACGTCTCTGCCCCACTCCTGAGGCTGGCTGTGGGGGTGGATGTGCTCCTGCAGCCTCCCAGGCCTCCCCTCCCAGTGTTAAGCATGGCCAGGCCCTGGAAGGTTCTCATGGCTCTGGTGTCTGTAACTAATGACTGGTAGGTTGGTGACAACATCCAGACATGGAGACATCTGCCTGACCACTTCAGAAGTTTTTGTCCATGCTCCAGAGCTTTCCCTGTTACTCACTGTCTGGGGAGGGATGTGCCCTCAGAGCCCCTCACAGAATCAGAATATCCTGAATTGGAAGGGACCCATAAGGATCTTCGAGTCACACTCCTTCCCTGCACAGGACAGCCCTAAAATCCCACTATATGCCCAAGAGTGTCACCCAAACTCTCCTTGAGCTCTGTCAGGCTCCTGCCATGACCACTTCCCTGGAGTCTGTGTTCTAGAGCCCAACCGTGAACCTTTTCCTAATATCCAGTGAGGATATTTCCTATATCCAGTAAGGATACCAACCCCTCCCACGCTGCAGGCAGGAGGGAGGAAGTGCTGTGCTGGTGTCACACCAGCAGTGCCGGCAGAGGGTGCAACCCACCCGTCCTTGTCACGCTGCTGCTCTTGGCAAAGCTGCCTCTGGGCTTCCTCCTGTGGCCACAGTGCTGGAGCTGGGGACTGCACAGGGCTGGGGGGATATGGCCCAGCAGGGCATTCCCATCTCACAGGTGAGGTCTTGGTGCTCTCTCCCAGGTTTCTGCAGACAAACTGGTGGGACTGATGGCCTTCAGGCAGCATTTCAATTCCTCCACGTTCAACAAGCTGGTGTCCTACCGCCGTGCCATTTACCACGCTCTGGAGGTAACCACCAGGGGTGGGGGGAGTGGGTGAGGAGGTGCCAGAGGAACCAGCTGGGCTGGGGGGCCAGTGGGATGGGGTGCAGCAAAACCCCCCTTTCACTACTGAGATTATTTCCAAGTGCAGCTGTGGGGCCAGATTCTGCTTATCCTGAGGGTTTAGGGGTAGCTGCTGCTGCTCCAGGGTCTCACTGCTCCAGAACCCCAGGCCAGACTCCTTGTGAGGGCTTGGACATGGCAGCATCATGGCAGTGCCAGGCTGGCCAGAGGTGTCCCAGGTCAGTGCAGGATGCCCTTTGAAGTGCAGGCCCACAGGCATCTCCTCTGCCTTTTCTTCCTGGCACTTGCCATGGAGCAGAATCTGGGCAAGAGCTTTGGCTGGGCTGTCCCTGCTTCTGGCTCCATTGGGGCTGGTGGAAGACATTGCAGGGATGGAGGCACTGGGCTGTGGCCAAGGGCAAACCCAGAGTGGGAATCCATCAGCTGCCACCATCCCAGGGCCACCAAGCTCTGTGTGTGTGTGTGTGTGTGCTGGGTGGCCCGGAAGCCTGGGGCTGTGGCCCTGGAAGGCTGTGGCTGCTCCCCTGAAAGAGACCACCCTGTCACCCTGTCTGCTGCCCATCCTCATCAGGTGGCCCGGAGCCGGTCGGGGAAGACGTTTACAACTGGCCCCAGGGAGTCACTGGAGGAGCAGCTGAAGCCCATGATCGACTGGGCAATCACTGGCTTCAAACCCCTGGGGCTCAAGGGACTGCGGCCACCCAAAGGCTCAGGTGAGGTGGTGGCATCAGCTGGCTGGGGGCTGGTGGGGGGCTGGCATGGACAGTGGTCACTGGGGGCTGCCCCTGGCTGAGCCTGCTCACCCTGTGCTGTGGCCATGCTAGTCCAGTCCCAAGGGGGTCCTGGAGCTTCTCTCTGGGACTCTCAGTGGCATTGCAAAAAGCTGGAGCAAAGCACCCTCCAAGCCCCATGGAAATCAGACCTGGCAGAGCCTTGTGCCATGTGAGGACCTGGGTGGTTAGGAAGGGTCCTGCTGTGGCTGGGGTGAGACCTGGCAGGGCTTGGCAGGAGGTGCCCTGGCTGGTCCTGAAACTGGAGGCTTGTACTTAAGGAGGTTCCTTTTCCTTGCAGAGAATGGGGTGCTGAGGAATGGGACAGAGGAGGTGGTGTCCCTTGAACAGTGTCCCCCCACCAAGAGGCTGAAGACCTACCCCTGCAACAGCAGCAAGGAGCAGCGTGTGGAAGAGGACCAGACCCGAGGTAACCAACAGAGTGAGCTGGGGAGTGGCTTGGCCTGGGCTGTGCGCCCCAAGAGCACTGGGAAACCATTCTGGCAAAGGGCTCGGCTCTTCCCAGGAGCCATGAGCCTGGTTTCTCAAGGCAGAAGCTTTTGTGGTCTGGTGGTGCTGACTTGTGTCTCACAAGACACCAGCAAACCCAACTGCAAGACATGGGCTGCCCCCACCAGTGGCTCAGCTTGGAGCACGACCATGTGCTGCTACACTGAGCTCTAATATCTCCATCAGTGCAAGGATGTGAGCTTTGCACCAAAATCTCTCAGCAAAGCTGGAGTAGTTCTAATGCAAGAAATAAGGCACCTGTAAGCAGAGTGCATTTAAAGTTTGTAACACAAAGAATGATAATGTCTCTTTTTTTTTTCCCCCCCCCAAATTTATAAAGAGCAAATGGTTTCTGAAGTTACGAACAACAGCGGAAAGCTGGAAGGTAAAGGCTGGCCCTGTCTTTCCTTGGAAGAGGTGGGAGGTGCTGGGGGTGCCCAGCAAGGGTCATGGGTCCCTTTTCAACTGCACCATGTAGGAGGGGGACAGGGTGCTCAGGGGGGACAGGGTGCTCAGGGGGGACAGGGTGCTCAGGGGGACAGGGTGGTCTTGGGGACACAGGGTGCTCAGGGGGACAGGGTGCTGAGCAGATCCTCCATGGGAGCCACAGCCACATCTGGATACAGTTCCAAGGGCAGGCCCCATCTGGGTGCAGTTCTGAGCGCAGCCTTTATCCAGCCACGCTCCGAGGCCAGGCTCCAGCCTCTGCAGCCTGTGGTGGGTGTAAGGGGGCCCTGCCCTGGGTGCTCCCTGCCCTGGGTGAGCGCAGCTCTCTCTGTCCCACAGAGAGCTGTTTGTCCTGCGGGAGGAGGAACCCGGCCACCTTCCACCCTCTGTTCAAGGGGGGCCTCTGCCAGACATGCAGGGTAAGTGCTGCTGTGCTGGGGCTGAGTGAGAGCCTGGGGCCTGAGGGTGGGGCTGGGATCCAGCCAGTGCTGCTGGGACCCGGGCTGGCTGTGCCAGGTCCTGGCCGTGCTGTGTCTCCCATGGAGCTGTCCCTTGGCATGTCCTCACCACCTTGAAACACTGAGGATGTGCATCTCCAAAATCTCAGCCTGCACTGAGAATGAAGCAAAGCTGTGTTCTCCACCATCTGAGCAGGGTTCCTGATCCTCTGTCCTTCTCTGCTCCTGGATGTCCTTTTGCTAGGATAGATTCCTGGAGTACTTCTACATGTATGATGAAGATGGGTACCAGTCCTACTGCACCGTCTGCTGCGCTGGCAAGGAGCTGCTGCTCTGCAGCAATGCCAGCTGCTGCAGGTGAGCCCCATGTCTCTGCTCTTGGGGCTGAGGGCCTGGCATCATTCCCAGGGAGCTGCAGGAAGCAGGATCCTCCATGAGCCTGGGCAGGGGCTGTGCTTCTCCCCAGTTGGCTGCCATGCAGCATATCCCAACACAGGCTACTTGCCCTTACTGAGCCAGGTATCTCTGAATAAGCCCTGTGGAGTTTGGCTGGAGACTTACCCACGCCTTGGTCACCAGCTTGTGTTAGCAGCCCTAAAAATCAGGGCACTGCCTGGAAAAATATCCTGTAAAATGGTGGGGGCTCTGGTCCATGGCAGGGGAGACTCCAGGAGAAGTTGGGGTGACCAAAGGGGTTGCTGGGGTGACAAGCACAAGCTGTTGTGGTTTGGGCAGGTGCTTCTGTGTGGAGTGTCTGGACGTGCTGGTGGGGCGAGGGACGTCATCCAGAGTAAAAGAGCAGGAGCCCTGGAACTGCTACATGTGCCAGCCCCAGCAGAGCCGCGGCGTGCTGCAGCGCCGGCAGGACTGGAACACTCGCCTGCAGGACTTCTTCACCAGTGACAAGGGACAGGAATATGTAAGGGCTGGGGGCAGGGAGCCTGATGTGCTGGGATATGGGGGAGAGGGTCACTAAGGGCAGGGTGCGCTACCTGGATTTCCTCTTCCCTCTGCCTTGGTCTTGTTCACCCACCCTTTCCGAGGGTGCCAGGCTCTTGGTCCTGCAGATGCTCTCCTGAAGGTGGAGGTGCTGCATTCAGAGCCTAATGGGACAATGCAGCACTGCCAGGGCTGGGGCTTCATGGCTGTCTCCATTGCAGGCTGCACCCAAAATCTACCCAACAGTTCCTCCAGCGAAGAGGAGACCAATTCGAGTGCTCTCGTTGTTCGATGGGGTGACAACAGGTGAGGCAGTAGGGAGGCACTGCTGGGCAGCTCTTAGCACTCACTGGGCATTGGGGATGAATCACTCCGTGGGCTCAAACCTGTCTCTAAAAGCTTGGTGGGGAGGAGTGGGTGAAAGCAGTGACATCCCCATCAGAGGAGGGATGAGGGCAGGGTCTCCCTTTGCTGCTGGACAGGGTTGTGGAGGAAAGGAGGGATGGAGGGAGGGCATATGTGGGCACCTCACAGAGGTATTCCTGCTGTGCCAAGAGTGATCTGGGGTGGCTGGTTCCCTTGAGAAGCCAGAGCTGTGGGAACACCAGTAATCTGTACTCCGAAGTGCCTGAGGGCAACTGGTTTGGCTCCGTTTACTCAGCTCTGGCATTCTGCTTTCTGGGAGCAAGCCTGCCTGGAGGAATGGGTCAAATAAAAGTTTACTCACCCTGAAGTGCTGTTTGACTACACCCACCTAGGACATCCAGGAGCAGCCACATCGAGCGGTGCTGACGAAGGAGACTTGGAGGCTAAAGAGAGCAGTGCCACCTCAGACCTCTGTCCGTTGGCAGGGTACACGGTGCTGAAGGACTTGGGCATCCAAGTGGAGAAGTACATTGCCTCAGAGATCTGTGAGAAGCCCATCGCCACGGGCAAAGTGCGGCCTGAGGGCAACATCACCTACGTGCACGATGTCAGGAACATAACCAAGAGAAATGTGAGCTCTGCTTCTGCGGGAGCCTGAGAGACATGGCACCATGGGGGCAGGGGTCTCACCCCGCCAGCTCTGGGACAAGCTTGTGCCCTGCCCCATCGGGGAGGAGAGACCCCTTTCTGTGGTATCCCCTAATGGTCTGGATTGTCTGTTCTCTGTAGATTGAGGAGTGGGGTCCTTTTGACCTGGTGATCGGTGGAAGCCCCTGCGACGACGTCTCCCTTGTCAATCCAACCAGGAAGGCGCTGTTTGGTAAGGCTGCTTTGCCTCTGCTGGGCTGCGTACCTTGGGATGTTCCTGGGCGTGGAGCCACTTCATGGGTGGTGGTTCAGCTGTATTGGTATTGGTGATGGGCTGTCTCCATACCCATCTTGGTGGGGAGGGCAGCCAGGCCCCCCAGCCCGTGCCCCAGCTGGTCCCAACCTGCTGCTCGGCTTTTTCCCCGCAGAAGGAACCGGGCGGCTGTTCTTCGAGTTCTACCACCTGCTCAACTACGCTCGTCCCAAGGCGGGCGAGGAGCGGCCCTTCTTCTGGATGTTTGAGAACGTGGTGGCCATGAGGATCAATGACAAGAGGGACATTTCCCGGTTTCTGGAGGTAGGGATTGCTGACAGCTGTGGGAAAGGCGTTGGAGCAGGTGACATTTGCTGGGCTGTGCAGGCTGTGCCGGGTGTGAGGGTCTGGCTATGCTTTCCTGTGGCCCTGATGCTGGAAAACCCCCTGCCTGGTGCACATGCCAAGGAATCAAGTTTAGTCTTGGCTCTGGATCCTCCCCTCTGGCTTTCATCAGGTCAAACCCAAGCACAAGTCCTCTGGGGGAGGGGTTTTGCCAGCCTTGCAGAAAGCATCTGTTCCCAGCAATGCCTGTTATTTCTAGGGAGAGGGGGGTCAGGGACTGGGAAGGAGTTTTAACTCTGTGGTAGCCAGGTTGAGTTGTGAGTCAGCAGGGACCACTGGTGTAAAATCACCACTGAAGGCCGATCCTGCTTCATGGGAACCAGCACTGAGCACCCTGTGATGGTCAATAGCTGCTGGCCATGGCCTGGGAGCTCATGTGGCCACCCAAGCTGTTCTCTGGTGTGAAACAGGGTTTGTGGGAGGCACAAATTTTGAGGATTTCTTGACGACTTAAGTCCCTGCAGTGCAGTGGGAAGGCCTGTTCATGCAGGAGAGAATCAAGCCAGCATTTCCTCTAACTTGTATTTCCCCTCTTTTTGGCTTGCAGTGTAACCCAGTTATGATTGATGCAATCAAGATATCAGCTGCCCACCGAGCTCGTTACTTCTGGGGTAACCTCCCTGGGATGGACAGGTAATCAGTCAGTCTGCTGTCCTCTTGGATCTCTCATGGTGGTTTTGGTTTGTTTTGTAGTGCCCATTTGTGTGGATTTTTTTGTCTCCCTGGCTCTAAGCCCAGCTCCTGGGAGCGAAGAGCTAGAGCTCCCGCATGGGGCAGCTGTCCTGCAGTGATGTGCACATGATAATTAATGCTCTTACTAATAAGCAATGATGAGACTGCGGGGGAGAAATGTAGCAGCATCCCCTGCCCTGGCCCTGAAGGTTTCGGAGGGAGGAGTGATGGGGCTTGCTCAGGATGCTCTAGTGGGTCTGGCTGGCGGTGCACACTTGGGGTCAGCCCAGGCTGATGTGGGGTGCTGTATGGCAGCCCTTGCCCTGGTCAGTGCCTGGTTGTGGGTTTGTGGAAGGGAACTGACTGGCTGCTGTGGCTGTGGTGGGTGGCGTGGGGGAGCTCACACCACAGCCAGCAGCTGCTGTGGCAAAGCATGAGTGCACCCTGCTCCACACTTCACACCCTGAATTCATGGCAAAATACAGCAGAAGGACTGGGAGCAGATGAATCCAATTACAAGCAGTCCATTACACCAAGTATGTGTGACAGAACCTGAAGGTTTGGCCCTGTGGATGCTTCTGGCCAGTAAACACAAGACTGGGGTTAAATAATTTTGCTTGCTTGTATTTAAATTGCCAGTATTTGTTGGAGTTAACACTGAGCTAAAGGCATTTGAAAGTAAAATAACAATTCCAAGCCTTTGTCATGTGAAATGGCTGTTGGACTTTCATCTGTCTGATTGTAAGGGAAGTGCCCAGCCCATGACTCAGAGCTACTCAGTCCTATCTCCATGGAGTAGCCCTGGGGCAATGCTTGCAGAGGTGCTACTGAGCAGAGGCAGGCTGGATGCCCAGCCACAGGAGCCTTGCCAGGAAATTCTACAAGGTGCAGGGCACTGGGGATGGTGGGAAGCCACAGCCTGGCCCCATCCAGAACTGCTCAGGTTGGGTGGGGCTGGAGAGCTGAATCCTCTCCCCATAGGAGATTCCTGACACTCACTGTCTTTGGGTAGCCTGGGAGTGGTGCTGCCCAGGGAAAGGGATTCCTGCTCCTGCTCTGCCTCACCTGCCCTCTCCTGCTCCTCAGGATCTTTGGCTTCCCCCTGCCCTACACGGATGTCTCCAACATCAGCCGCGGGACTCGCCAGAAGCTGCTGGGGGGATCGTGGAGCGTCCCTGTCATCCGACACCTCTTCTCCCCACTCAAGGATTACTTTGCCTGTGAATAGCCTGTGAAGAGTGTCCCTCGTCTGTCTGGTAACGATGCACAGCACCGCTGCTGTGGCGGGAGAGGGACGGGCACGGCCACCGGACTGCCAGGGCCCCGTCCCTCGCTGGGGACGGCAGCCTGGCCCCGCCGGGAGAGCCCAGGAATGTCTGTAACCAAAGAACCTGGCAGGGCAACTTCTTTAAAGGGACTAACAGTGATCCGTAGTAGGAAATGATGGACGAAGCTTTAATTACCCAGCACACGAAGCTCTATGCATCACTGATGGGATGGGAGCCTCATCCTCCAGAGCATTAACTATTCCTGTTTAGCCTGGAGCTGGGAAGTCACCACTTGCTGAGCAGCCAGTGTGCGGGCAGCTGCTGGGGAGCTGCAGGCAAACCTGAACTACAGTGAATTGGTGCTTTTCCTAAACAAACAAAACCTCTTGAAGTAACTGCCAAAAACCCCCAAACTGTAGCAGCAGGTGTAAGGGACCCTGCTCAGGTTACACACTGAACACAGGATCAAGAAACCAAATCTTTTTTGTTTTTATTTTTTTTTGGATAAAATTTAATTTTGTTGTTTTAATGTCTATTGCTGCTTTAAGGCATTACATAAGAATGTGGAGATTCCTAGACCTGAATGTAGCTGAAACTGAACTGTGAGGTGATAGAATTACTTTTCTAGCTAGAACTGAAGAAATATTGTTTTATATGTTTGGTTGTAGTTTACAAATATTCACTACTTCCTTTTTAAATCATCTAAAACCTCTCCTTACATTTTAAAATCCTGCTGAATGGTTTGAAAGCTTACACAGTAACTGGAGCAGGGAGGATTTGGGCTCCAGGGTCTGTAAAGGAAAATATTCTTGGAGCATCCATTTCCCAAATGAATGTGGTATGTCAGCAGGAAGAACAGTGTAATGGTCAATGGCACCCTCAAATCTCAGCACCCCAAATGTCATGTAGGATGTCATGAACCCAAGCAGTGGTGGCAGGGCATTCCTTCCAGGGAAAATCCCACCCCGCCCTCGTGGAGTGCAGGGACCAGGAGTGCAGCACTGCTCTTGCCTGTGCCCATCTCATGCTGTGCACAGGGAATGGGACAGTGAGGCAGGAAAGCACTGCCACTGCTGGGGGTCTGGGGCTGTACCTCTCCTCCCCTGTGCTCCCATCTCCCTGTGCACACAGGTGGGATTGTGTGCCCAGCCCCAGCCTGGGGGGCTCCTGGGGCTGTACCCCCAGTCTGGGAGCTCCTGTGGCCACCACTGTGCTCACTTTTGATTGCCTTTCTCTACTCCCCAGCTTTGCCAGAGTGATTATCATGCTATCCATGAAGTCCTGGTCAGCAGGAAGGTGCAGGTGCCTGTGTCCATTTCTGCCAGGTTTTCTGTAGCCACCGGGCTACTGTTCCAGCAGGCATCTCTGGGGATTCTGAATTCCAATGCACATTTCAATGCACTGAAACCACTCCTCCCTTGGTCCCTCTGTCCTCCCCTACCTCTGCTGTTCACCTGTCACCTGCCTCTGGAAGAGCCCTCGGGCACCTTCTCAAAATTATTCAGGTTCAAACCATGGGCCAACCCTCCTCCACCCAGTCAATGCCAGGCTGCCTTGCTCTCTTACAGGGTGCTGTACAGCATCACTGGGAAGAACTTCTCTCCCAGCTCCTTCTACCTCTCTGGCACCCCTGTCCTTGTGGTGGAGGACAGCAGCCTCCCATTTTCCACCCTTGTGTGCAGTTTTCCATCCCAGCTCTGCTCTGAGAACCATCTTCTCTTGGTCTCCGATCCAAGGCTGTGCTTGGGAAGCAAGGGAACAGCAAGGGAACCCAGGTAGTTTAAAGGCTTTTTTACCCCTGTTTTATCTGGAGGTTATTCTTTAGAGAGAACTCCTTGGGGGGTTCATTCTTGGTGACTTGATCAAGCCACGTGCCTTAATTAAGAAAACTCTGAGGAAAGCCAGGCAGGCTGGTCCAAGTCACTGCTGGCACCTCCAATGCTTGACAAGTGCTTGGGGGACACGTAGCACCCTCGTGCCACCAGCCCCGGGCTGGGAAGATGGCAGGGTGGGTTCTGTGCATGCTGGAGCTGTTTGGGAAGCCTTGGCATTGCCAGCGCTGCACCAGCTGCTTTTGGACTCGTTGCCAATCTGTGATCCTTCTGTCCAGCTGGACCCCAGCCACAACACTAATTCCTCATCCCAGGTCCTTGCAGTCCCCATTTGGAGCCCAGCGTGGGGCCTGAGGGCAAACAAGCATCCAGTGCAGGGGCTCGGGGTGACAGCCACCCTCTGCTCTGATGGGCGTGATCTTTCCAGACTGCCCTCCACTCCATGGCATCCCTGATCTTACATACTCCAGATCTCACATCCTTTCCTATCTGATCAAAAGGAAAACAAATAGATGAGAGGGGAAAAAAGGACTTGGGGAAAGTAAACAAAGATAAAAGAGGAATGAGAATTGTCTTGGCATTAAGCTCTCTTGATGAGAATTGTAGTAGACAAGTCTTCCTTGAAATGTTTTTCCCTGTAAGAGCTGCCTTTTATTTTGAGTTTATAAAATGTTAAGGGAGGGGGATCTCAGAAATTCCTTTTTAATACTTTTTAAAGGTTTTTAACTCTCCCTGGTGCTATTTTTTTAGGTTAAGGATTTCTAATGTTGAACATGCTGCGGGTTTTTATACAATCTTTTAAAAATGAGAGAAATGTATAATTTTTAACACATTTCACAGTTTTTGTATCCTGGAGTGTGGAAACTCGCAACTCCGCCTTGTCCACATGATTTCACTGGCTTCCATGTGGGAAAAAAAATGTCGACAGTTTACCATTTATCATGTCTGATTAAAAACGAGTATTTCTGTATGGCTGGACAGTCTTATTGGGTAAATAAAGAAGGTTCACAGTGGGAGGAGGGGCACAGCCAAGGAGGGAACCGAGCTGCCTCTCTCCTGCTGCCGCTGAGGTGACACCAGTGACATCGAGGTGGCCGGTGCTGGTGTGCCCGGAGAGCTGGAGCCGTGCCGGGGGTCGGGGCCGGGCAGTGCCGGGGTCCGGGGCCGGGCTGTGCCGGGGTCCGGGGCCGGGCTGTGCCGGGGTCCGGGGCCGTGCCGTGCCGGGATCCGGGGCCGTGCCGTGCCGGGATCCGGGGCCGAGCCGTGCCGGGATCCAGGCTCCCGCCGTCCCGGTGCTCGCGGCCGCAGCGGCTCCGTCGCACCCTCGGGCGCGAGCCCCGCGCGACCCTCAGGCACGCGGGATCCCCGCTGTGGGCGGGGCCAGTGGCCCGGCCAATGGCAGGCGAGCCCTCGGGCGGTGTGGGCGTGGCATCTCCATAGCAACGCAGCAGCTCGCCCCGCCCCCTGACAACCGTTCCCCTCCCCGTGCCGGCGCGCGGCGCTCCCCGCGCGGGCCGTGACGTGCGCGTGACGCAGGCGCGCAGCGAGCGCGTGACGCGGTCCCGGTCAGGGCGGGCGGGGCCGGTTTGAACGCGGGGCCGACGGGGCGAGCGCGGCGCAGGTACCGGGCCGGGGCCGCGGCGGGGCCGCCGGGGGGGGAGGAGTAGAGCGGGGAGAGCGCGGGCCGTGCCCCGCCCGCAGCGCAGGGCGGCCCTGCCCGGCGGCAGCTGCACCGGCGGCTCCGCTTTGTGCCGGCGGGGCTGGGCGGGGAGCGGCCGCTCGGTGTGGATCCCCGGGGAGACGCCGTGGCCGCGCAGGAAGCGCTTCAGCCGTTCCCGGTGGCGCGGGGGAGAGGCACGAGTAACTTGCCGCGGCCGCGATTGCTTTCAGCGGTTCCCACGTGAGCGCCTGGGTGCTCGTTTTCGGTCGGACATCGCGCGGCCGGGCCCTCGGCAGGGTGGTGCCGCCGGGTCCCGCAGCTGCTGGCAGCCCGCGGGTGCGGGGCCGTTCGCTCGCTGGTGGCCCGGGAAGGCTCCAAAGGAAGCGGCTCCACCGCAGCCCGGCGCTCACACCTCTGGTTGTGTCTTTCAGAAAATGGCAGTGAATGTGTATTCTACTTCAGTGACCAGCGATAACCTGAGCCGACATGACATGCTGGCGTGGATCAATGAGTCTCTGCAGCTGACGCTGACCAAGATTGAACAGCTGTGCTCAGGTAAGGGGGTTCGCCCCGAGGGCGCTTCCACGTGGGATGTGCACCCTGCTTCTGTGGAGGTGCAGCTGCACCCTCTGTGCTGCCCTGCTGCAGCTGTGCTCATGGTGCGAGCAGATTCGTGGTCAATGTTGTGATCCAGTTATGGCTGGAGTGTTACTGAAGTGGTTGTCAGTAATGTCAGTGTAATGGAAAGGCACGTTCTCATGACTCACTGCAGCATAGATGCTATAAGCAATGGGTGTTAATGAGAAAAAAAGACTCTGAGGAAGAGGGTGTTTTCCCATGAGGAATTAAGTGCTTAGTGTTCATGGATAGAGTAAGTCTTACAAGTGTAACTGGCAAAAACAATTGTGATTTGTTCTGGAAGAGTAGTGGAGCGTGAGGAAGACAGAGCAGTGACTTGTGGAGTCATCTGCAGGACTTCAAAACTCCTCTTGGTCCTGGAGCACATCCAGTCTGTGTCAGCCCAGCTTACCTGGGCTTGAACTAACTTCAGCACAGCTCAATCTCATACACAGTAGTAGGCAGGAAAGGGGAAGTGTCTGTGGTACAGAAATGGAGTCAAGTGTCATCGTAGGGAGGAGTGTGTGGGAGGAGGAGGCTTGTAAGAACAAATAAAAGATAATAGTCTGTGGAATAAGAGCTGAAAGAAACCCAAGGCTAAGAATGCAGCCTGGGTACAAGATAATTTGGATAACTACAACAGGCAGTCAGTGAAAAGTGGAAGTTTGGCTCATGCAGTGACTTTAAGATAAGGTGTTGCTCATGGAAGGAGACATGTGGAAATTGAAGGTGAAATAAAAGGAGGAATTAATTAAAAGTGAGGTTCTTGGACTGTCAGTACAGGCTGTGGCTTTGTCTATGGAGGAAACAATCCCAAAGATTACAGGAGAAACAAGGGACTCTTAACAGG